TTTGGGCAATGGGGGGGCATTTTCTCGCACGCCTTCAGAGAAAGAAAGAAGGCATGCGAGAAAGCCCCCTCCCCACCTGAACGTTTGAATGGAGGAGGCTGCAGGCTCCTTTGCCCTCAGCAACGCTATCTCCTTTCGTTCTCTACTGCCAGAACAAATGAATGAGGCAGATGGAGAACGGAAGGAGATAGCATTGCTGAGGGCAAAGGAGCCTGCAGCCTCCTCCATTCACACATTTGGGCAATGGGGGGGCATTTTCTCGCACGCCTTCAGAGAAAGAAAGAAGGCATGCGAGAAAGCCCCCTCCCCACCTGAACGTTTGAATGAAGGAGGCTCCTTTGCCCTCGGCAATGCTATCTCCTTTCATTCTCTGCTGCCCGAATGAGTGAATGAGGCAGACGGAGAATGAAAGGAGATTGTGTCGGGCAGGGAGAGCGAGAAAGGGGGGCAGAGGGAGGGAGCGTTCCGGTACTGTGCCACCGGACGAAGGGGTTCTAAAGTGTACACTGAATTTCATGAATGGGTTCTAGCGTATTGGTTAGAACCGGCTGAAACCCACCCCTGAGTGGTATCCATTCTATGACTGCCTTAGTCCACTTGCTATCAGTTCTTCTTGCTATGTGACCTAATCCCATTTTCCTTTCATTACAAATTAAAATGTATTGTTGTGCATAAAGATAAGAATTTCCATTTCTAATTCAATACAAAAGCTACAAGTGACACAAAGAACCATGGAAAGATAAATACTTGGCATCACAAGATAGAAAGGCCTGCACATGGATTACATAAGAAATGAAAATATACAATGCAATCAAAAGAGTAAAAAAACTGAAATGGAAATACTCCCAATAACTGGACATATTTTATTTAAAAGAGTACATCTATTTACTATTTAGTTGTAGATAATGGGAGATACCATCTTAATATATAAATGCCTGAACTGTAAAGCATATTACTGAACAGGTCAAGTCTTTCTAAAAACCCAGTGCACTAATCAGTAGGTGCAAGCTAAATAATCACATGTTAAAATTAAGTGCAAAACAATTTCTGTACTGTATTCAAATGTCTGAAATATTAGATATTCCTCCGATATGGAGGAATTGTCATATAAAGGATTGAATGGCTAAAATGGTTAGTAGTCTAGTAAGGACAGATTTAATTTCTTAGAATCAAAGGAAAGAATCAGTTTTAAAGCTTTGTTGCTTTTTTAAAAAATTAACTGGTAAATTTTAATCAAAGTTTACTGATAAAGCAGTAAAGTTAGCGCTATATTCAAAAACTTATGTGAATGAACACAATCCATACCTGTCAAGATTTGTATGTGATTGCTCTTGCCCATTTTCTCGTGGTTTTTCATCCTTTGTTTTTGGAGGAATTATGGTTGGCTCTAAACCAAATAATTCCTGAAGTTGTGCATAAAGATAAGAGCGGTTGTAGACATGAAATTCAAAATCATTCACCATGATATATAATCTTGTTTCTGCTTTAGGATCTATGGAGTTAAACAAGATGTATTTCATTTAGTCAACTCACAAACAAATGTAGAAACATTACATGCATATTATACATGCATATTATACACCAAATCATTAATTATATGCCGCATACACAAGAATGACCTTCTAAAATAATTAACCAACCAATATGCATGAATAATGTATCTAATTCAGTTTGTAAACAATCACATCATCATTTGTATTATAAGTCAACATTCATTATAACAATTATTTCATTTAGAATACTGGTTAGTAGCTTTTGTCTAGTTCCCAGCAAGTAAGATGAAAATAAATTATTAATTAAAAACAAGATAGGTTTTAGCTATGGCTGAAATTCTTACAAACACTCACAGAAGCAAACCAACAATGCATGCTGTTACTGTGTAGTCTAAATGACTTGTTTTAAATACCTTATTTTTTTTGCTCGGGAACATTAGACGCACCAGGCTTTTTGGGAGGAAAAGAAAACAAAAAAATCTGTCTCTACCGCCCAGCCCCAGCATGTGGCCATCAGGGCTACGCTCCGTTGCACCCACCACTGGTCTGGATCCCGGCTTCCATAGCTCTGCCAATCAGCAGGCTGGCTGACCAGAAACGGAGCTATTGCTGTCTCCTCTGTTTCTGCTGCCAGCGTTCCCCAGCTATCGCCATTCACCGCCACCACCACTGCCACCTATCGGCCTCCCAGAATACCACCAATCAACTGTTCTAGGTGGCGGGGGTTGCCGTTCACTGCGTGAATGGTGGTGGCGACAATCCCTGCCGCCTGGAAAAGCTGATTGGTGGTATTCCAGGAGAATGATCCAATCGGCAATAGCTGGTGGCTAGAGGAAGCGACAGTAACAGGCATCCCATGTAGAGGCCAAAAACAGGGCACGGAGAGGCCAAAAACAGGGCACGCAGGGACCAAAGGGTGGGGAGGCTTCAGCAATATTCAGTCCATAAGACAGACATTTCCAGAGGAGGAGCCAATGTCCCCACAGTACGGACGTGCGGTCTTGATGCTCTGAGACTGCAGCCGGTACTTTTGCCACTGGGGGGGGGGGGTCCAATCGGACCTAAAACGTCCCGAAGAGACAGTGAACAGGAAGAATATGTCTTGCTGATTTCGGGGATATCGCAAAATCCCTGAAAAAAGCAAAGAAAGGTCTTCAAGCTAGTGACAAAAGACAGCTTAGGCTAATGAAGTGAGGATGGATGGCTATGAAAGGGAAGGGAACAGAAAGAGAAAGTGTGATCATCTGGGGAATTCCTTCTGTTTTGGAAAAAAAACTGCCCAAAAGAATCTCATTTTTATGCTAAACTAAACCCTTAACCAGAAGAAGTCAGCGGCGGAATTGATCTTCATTGTTTTGTTTTGGTCAGTATGCTTTTCTTCTTGTAACTATTGAAATGCTTCTTGCAACTTTTTCTCTCCTATTAAAGCTACCGCAGCAGTAATTTACAATTTGGAACATGGGGCAATTTACAAAAGACGAAACTTTAACTTTGCAAGGATTTGGGATGCAATTCAAGAGTTATTGGTAACTTGGAGAATTGACAAGAACATAAAGTTTATACCAGAAAAAAATGAGGGAGGTGGAGTTCCAAAAACTGGAAGAGAAAAAGGAACACAAAGATAAGAAAACTAATGATTTGATTTCTGAACTGAAAGTGGCTGAAAGCGAAAAAATAAGGCAGGAAGGAGCTGAAGGAGAAAAACCGATCCGTTCACTTTAAGCAGCGGGGGGGGGGGGGAGGGAAAAAGTTGCAAGAAGCATTTCAATAGTTACAAGAAGAAAAGCATACTGACCAAAACAAAACAATGAAGATCAATTCCGCCGCTGACTTCTTCTGGTTAAGGGTTT